GGCCCTAAGCAAGCAGCTGGACCCCATTACCCATCGTTTATCGTCTGAACAATGATGAGCTTAAAGTGAAACGCTACTGCAGCTCTAATTGTCTGTGCTCATAGCTAAGGACAGAAGTCAGAGAGGAAGACACATGCCAAGCAGGGGTGAGGCCCGGTTCAGGGCCTCTGAGCCCAGATGAGAGCTAGGGCAGTGATGTAACCCCAGCCCTCCGTGGGCGAGACGGAAGTCTGAGGCAGGGGGTCCCCAGGAGCTCCAGGGTGAGCTAGCCTGGCATTCACAGTGGCGAGTAACAAGAGCTGGTACGTGGCAACCACACCGAGCTCGCCCTCCGACCTCCACACGTGCATTCACACAGACACGGACGCGCACACACTACAGTGATTCAAAAAACAAACAAGTGGTTTGTTCAAGAAAAGTGAAGGACACAAAGCCAGTGCCAACAAGCTTTGCACAGGAAAGGTAATCTTCCAGGCAAGGTACAGAGTGAGAAGGGGGGCACTGGAGAGAGACCGCACACCTCTCCAGAAACACCAAGTTATGGGACTGTGTTCTCGGGGTGGAGGGCAGCCGCCCTCGTGCACTCGGCTCTTTGGGGGAAACTGAGACAGGTGAGAGAGGACCCCAGTTCTGTCCACAGTTCAGCGCTTGGGTGCCAAGGCTGCAAGGCCTGCCAGTCCCTGGTCCCGCCTCTGCAAGCGGAGGGGCCCGTGGTCAACGCTATCAAAGCGCTCCTCTGGATCCCGGCTCTCTGCAGCCCCAGCTCCGAAGCCTTCGGGGTCTGCAGGGTTTGAATAAAACACACAGGAAGAAATCTCCAGTCTAAGTTCGCTTGACATTCAGCTAAAAGTCAGAGCGGTGGACCCCGAGACAGATAGCACACTTCACCCACGAAGGGGAGGATGCGCCTCGCTTCACGGTGCGTGGAGGAGTTATTAAATGCCTCCATAAACTTTTATGGCTGTTTTAATCCCATTAATAACCATTCCGCTTTAATGTCCCGCCTGCTGAATCCTGTAGCAACTGCAGTGACTGCCGCCTGCGCGAGGCTTGTTTTCCCTGCAAGGATATAAAAGAGAAGGCGCCGGAGAGTTCAGCAGCGCTGACTCCATCAAAGGCGAGAGGCGAGAGGCAGATGCTGCCACTTTTTTCTGCGAGTCTAGCCTAGTCGCTTCCGCATTTCCATCTTCAGTTCCTGAGAGCGGCAGCCCGACAGAAGGGAATAAAAGTGAATGTGAGCCTGCACGGCAGGAAAGCTCTCGCACACCACCCTTCGCATCTTAACGGCCTGCTTTCCCCACATTAGCCTCCCCTGCACGCCATCTGCAGACGGCAGGGCTGCTCGGAGCCGGCGCCCGCAGCGCAGCTCAGGAGGCCGAGCGCTCCCACTGCGCCCAGCTCCAGAGCCCGCCTCCAGGCCCCCCGCCTCCAGCCCAGGAACACCCAGCGCCTCACTGCCGTGGCGCCCGAAGGTCTGAGGTACCCAGGAAGATGTGCCCAAGCCATGTGCACAGTGAAGCCGGTCCTGTGTGAGAAGCTGGCAACTGGGCACTCAACAGGATGCTGAAACCGATGCCCTGCACCCACTAACGGGTGAACTACAACAATGCCAACAAAACACCAACCAAAGAGCAGCTCAGGTCCAGCCTGCTGCGGCCACACAGGCCTTCCCCCGGCACGGGAGATGACGCCCTCTGTGCTGTGGCCATCTTTCTTCTGCTCCTCTCAGGACAGGCGGCCGCAGCAGCAGCAGCCGCTTCTTCTGAGAATTTCACCCATAGTTCAGTGGGGACTCTCCCTCTTGAAGAGGAGACAACTGACACCCCAAGGCCGGGACACTAGTTTTCCCTTCAGAGAACCTGAAGCACCACCCCATGAGAACGTGGGGGAAGACGGACTCAGGGTCAGTTAATGTCATTACTCCTGCGCCTCCTTGGGGGAAATGTCTATTCAAGTTGTGTACTCATTTGTGAATTCGGTGGTGTTTTCCCATCATTGAGTTGTAGATGCTCTTTACGTGTTGTGGATATCAGCTCCTCTTCAGACACATGGTCTGCAGACATTCCCTCTGCTGACATAGGAGAAGGCTGACCTCCCACTCTTCCACTGACAAGTGCGAGGAAGTCCAGGCCCCTGGGGAATGACAGGCCAAGCACAGATCAGGAGTGCTAACAAACTGCCGGAAAATGAACCCTGGAGAATGAACCCTGGAGAATGAACCCTGGAGTGACATCTGTTACGCTAATCCGCCAGCAGGAGGTTCAGTTTCTCCATAACTATGATCAAGCCAGAGTCCTCTGTGTAGATGTTTAGTCTGGTTCAGTCTGGTTCTGCAACCAACCTGGGCCTCACCTCTATCGGTGGGTTGTTCACACCTCCTTCAGTGGACTGTTCACACCTCCATCAATGGACTGTTTACACCTCCATCAATGGGCTGTTCACACCTCCATCAGTGGGCTGTTCA